CATGGATTTTGTGAACATATATGTGAAAAAGACGCTACCTGAACTCGTAAATTAGTTGTTTGCCACTTTTGTTTTCTCAGGGAAAACTAATCTATGTGACATATTTATTTTAGCCTCCCAATGCATATTTGCGGCCGATATACATCGTCTTTGTTTCAGATAAAAACTTCAGATTTTCAACTTTACGTATAGATATGCAAAAAAAAAAAAGAAAATTAGAGGGAAAGGCAAAGATATTCCATTCAAAAATTGAATGTTACGTCAAGATCTTTCCTTACATTCTCTTAGCTTATTTCTTCTCTTGTTCTTTCTCCACCCCCCCCGCTTTTCCTAAAGATGCAAACATGGTAATAGTGAATAATTTTCCGTGGATAACTATAGCGTAAGGATTGCGGCTTAGATTTAATGTGATTTTCTCTTATTCAATGCACATCAATTCTGTTTTCATTTTGATTTATTTTCATAATGCCCGACGTTGGAGATAAGAAGCTGTTTTTCACTTACTGTTCGCCCATCTGTTAAAAATCTCATGAGAAGAGAATAAATACTATTGGCGAAGCAAGAAATTCTCGCGTACCCACTGTTTGGTTTTCATTTCCGTTGGAAATTGGCTCAGAGGGAAATCACGCGCTTTACAATAGAAGATTTCAAGAATCAGATCATCAAATTACTTAAAAACAAATTTCGAGTAGGAGTTCTGCCCAATATTTTGGGCGTATTTGTTGGCAGCACAAATAAAAAGGAGAATGGAGATTACTAAAAATTTTGCTGAAGTCCTTAAAGGGCACTGAGAAAAATATTTTCGATCTTCTGTAGTATACACAAGATGGCCGAAAGTATTAGAATGTCATTCGCCAATGATATTAACTTCCTGAGGATAACGCCAGCCTGAGTAATTTGTTTTAAAACTAGTTAATAAATCTAATCTAATATTAACACACAATGTACAACAACAAAACAGTAGCATCAACAAATAACAATGATTACGAAAGATAATAAAAAGAATAAGCTTCTCAGTAACTATTAGGTTGGTGCAAAAATAATTTCGTTTTCTAACATATGTTACTATATGAGAAAACGATATTATTTTTGCACCAACCTAATACAAGAAAAATACGGTGAATATTTAGTACCATAGGAAAATTGCATGCTACCTATGTATGCTGTTTGTGGACCGCTATTAATGCATTAGATATTTTTTTAATTAATTTACCCCAAGCATGGCAATAAAACCACTAAGATGCAAGTGGTGTGAAAGAATATGAGAAAAACATTGGTAATGAGAGGGAACGATAACAAAGTAAGAATTAAGAAGAGAGATTTTAGAAATTAAGACTGTATTTGAATTTTTGAAGATCAAAGTTGACCGGAAATCAAGAAGCCGAAGGAGATTTTCATAAGAGAGAAGAAACTGTTATCATAGAACTTACGGTTTCATATAGCCATTTCAACTGTAACATGATGAGATCATGCCGCTTAATAGTGCGCTTAAACTCATCAAATTTAGCTACCATAGAGGAACGTTCATCAAAACAATTTCCATGAAAACATTTATAAAAGAAATCACAGGGAAGATATGTTACGGAGATGGGAATTAACTGAGGTTGAAATGTCAGATCAGTACCAATAACATTGCTAATTCCTCTTCGTATTTTATCAAAAATTTCTAAATATATAGCAGAAGAACTAAACCAAATGTGGCAGCAATAGTTGCTTGATATTAAAAATTTATTTATGAAAATATATATTCCACAGGCAGTTTCAGATTATGAGACCATTCAGACTCATGGGGGTACGATCGTTTTGACGGACAAGCGCTCGGAGAGAAATTGTCCTAATAACACACTTTTGTACATGGCCAGAGATGTATAAATCCTGACAGTAGTATCTTCAGTGGTAACAGTGCTGCGTGGCACAACTCACATACTGAGGAAGGTTTTGTGTTTCTAAGTTACGATTAGGAGCTGACATATGACCGCCATCATCCAAGGGTCGAAGAGGATATCAAATCGAATAATAATAATAATAATAATAATAATAATAATAAATGTCCTGATGCTACATCGGACATGACTATCATGGTTTCCGTTCTCTTTTTTTTGTAGGTGGGAGCGTAAAAACTTTTTTATGTGAAAGGCTGGACAAATATCGGGGAATTGTGAGAGAAATGAAGAATTTTGTCACATGAAAGTAACAGTAATACCCATCATAACTGGAATACTCAACGCCCTCCAAAAATTTGAAGATTGGCAAAAAGCTGAAAAAGAATTCGTGTATTGATCTGATATACTAATATTTCATTTCTTGTAAATGCCACCGCTTCACACCGGTGGGAAAACACGGTTATATAATAATAATAATAATAATAATAATAATAATAATAATAATTACAATTTGGTTAGCTGCTCGGAACAGTGAAGAAATTTCTGATTCTAATAAATACAGCATCTCGGTGAAATGAAACAAGACTAGGTGCATTTTATGTCACAAGTGATAAATTGAAAAGAAATATTTTGCCAGCCACCAATAAGATATGCTTTGAATAATAATAATAATAATAATAATAATAATGACGATGATGAATTCCCGTATGCTACGCTAGGTATGTATCTCATGACTTCCGATCTTAATTTATTGGGGAAGTTATCACATAATTCTCAAGTTTCCTCAGTTGGGCATGTCCCCTAATCGCTAAATCCCTATGCATTTCTGTCCATGAGTGGGAGGAGTGTGCGAATATCATAACTGGGTGTCGAGAGGGTTTGTATTTAGGTTGAAAGGATGAAGGAGTAATATCTAGATAACTGGGAACGCTGTTAATCAGAAAATGTCTGTCTACTTAAACTGGAGTTTAACTGCAAATTCATGTCCCGCTTCTTAACAAAGCCAGTCGCAGTTCTGCGCACATTGGCTGTGACGCATTATCCTGCTATAATTTTATAAGAATAGATGACATGATGGGTGTATTGCGCTCCGAGTATTTCTACCTCAACCTTATTTCGTCGTCTTTCTGCTTTCCCAACAATAATAATAATAATAATAATAATACAGACCCGATTATGGAGATAGGAAATTTAACAATTTTGGGGATCTTCACAATACACACAGACAGAACAATCAAAACTAATCACACAGACATCGAGATTAGAGATCGCAAAGACAAAAAATGCCTCCTTATTTATATGGCAGTCCTTGCAGACTGCAATGTCTCTTTGAAGTTATTTAAAAAGCTATCAAAATACAAGGACCTTGAAATCGAAATCTCAAAAATGTGGCACATGAGATCATCAACAATCCTAGTTGTATTTGAAGCCCTCGCATTGATTGGAAAAGATTTCAATAGACTCATTGAAGCAATTCCTTGTAGCCCATGCCTTAAAGAAATACAAAAAATAGTTCTCACGAGTACAGCCCAAAACTTACGAAGGGCTTTATCTATGTAAAATACGTGTTTTTTTTTTTTTTTTAAATTCCTCAGTGGAAAATGTCATGATGCCATTTCTGACCTTAGGTCTCTGGTCGGGATCAGGAAACAAATGAGTACACATCAGAAATCAAAGGAAATAATAATAATAATAATAATAATAATAATAATAATAATAATAATAATAATAAGTAAGAAGACAGATTGAATCAAATTCCTTGCTTTATTGATGAATGGTAGAAATAAATTTAAAATTCTCATGAAAAAGGACACACTCAGACAACGTATTATCTCGTAAAATTATCTCTATATCTAGTATGTTCTTTGAACGTTAGCTAAAGTTTCTTTGTATTCCTCAAAGACGTAAATCAAATTTAGGAAACGTAATCAATGATTTTAATGTTATGAGATTCATACAGCCCTCACCTTTATTTGTTTTTATCGAAATATTTCGGACGATAATTTCTGCAACCTCGTAATTTTAATATGAAGAACATTACTTGGAGTATCTCGTCAGATATGTTCTCCTCTCCTGAAATTGTAGAATAAAACGATTTTTTTTAATTCCGGATATTATTAGGATATATTCCTAGTTTTTATTCTATTAATCTCAAAGAGATTTTGGAAACTGAATGTAAAGTAGAACACCGAGGACATTAAACGAAAATACTAGCCTGAATAATTCATGGAATAATAGAAAGTTGTTGTTTAACATTTTGTTTTCCCTTGTAAAAATTTGCTTATAAATGATATTAATAAACATCAGTTGCGGATTAGCACGAATATGTATTTTCCATGAGAGAAATAGCGTTGATTTCTATAAATATTCTCTTTAAAAATGCGATATTACCTCGGCAATTTAAAACAAACGCTGCCCAAATCTGCACAAATTGTGTAAATATTTCTCATTTTTTCTCTTACATATTTGCTGGGGTCAAAACTCTGCAATGTTCTTTGCACGGACCTATTTATTTATTTATTTATTTATTTTTATATATCAAAATTGTCAGAATTGATGCATCACCGTACGCAGGAAATAATCCCTTTTTATCGCTTTCAATCTTTGTTGTAAATAGACATAGATATATATAAATATTTCATACTTCCATTTCTTATTTTTTACACTCTTGAAAAATCTGCCACAAAATGAAACAAATTGTCAAATTCTATTGGCTGTCAAGAAGAATATTTGAATTGACAAGGGAAAAATTGGTTCGCTAAAAATGTTTTCCTAAATTATTTTGGCTTCTTTTTTAGATGCAATTTTAAAATCTTGTTAAGTTGATTTTTGCAATCTGTCAGTTTTGCAGAAGGTCGAAGATGAGACAGCTTCAGTTTTTTTTTCAGATGATAACGTCTACCAGAGGCTAAAAAACCAGTGATAACGTGATAAAATGCTAAACGATGAACTAAGAAAATAGAGACATATAAATAAATATACGAAGATCAATAAGTTCGCTGCCTAAGGATGAATAAAGTATATATTTTACGCAACAAATATTAATAATGTTTCTTCTTGCCAACACATTTAATTAAGTAATGAATATTAACCATGAAGCCCTAATATTATATCAGCTTACGGCTATATCACTTTGCAAAACCAGTTCCCGTACGATCAGCGACATTAAGCAACGTCGGGCCTACTCATTACCTAGATGGGTGACTACTTGGGTATTCCAGGTGTTCTAAGATTAGATGCGTGAGTGGAATAATGAATAACGGCTCGGAATTAGGGATGGTTGTATTGACTTTGGCGTAAATCCCCTTGGAAATCCCCTTGAATACACCTCATCTCCCCCAAGCTATAGATTAATTAGAATTAGTAGGACTTGTAACAAAAAATTCTCACAAACTAAAAAATATGATTTTGGCTTTAAATAACCTGTTAAACGTCGATAAGCCGTAAAAAAAACAAACAAATAAAACTAGATATTACATCTTAGCGATAAATTTTCAGATTAGTTGAGAATTACTTGTCAGACTGCAGTCACTGACATATATATATATAAATGGACAAGGTCCGACAATTTATTTATTAAAGACATTTTTATGTTTAACGTTGTTATTTATAGATACAAGTATTTAAGCAAATGCTCTGTTTATGATAAACAGTATTAAATAACATTTACCGGCCTGAATGTCCGAGAAATTTTCATAGAAAATATTCGTTCTTTGACAGGATTCGAACCTGCATCCTATACGGAACCGTCATATACGCGGACGTGCCTTAACCGTCTCGGCCACATTTATAAGCAGTAAATATTGATATGTTTCACGTACGATTTCATTTTCAATATTTTTTTTCACTGTTCTTTGGACTATCAAAGTTAAACTTCTCTCTCATGTGCCAAACGTCTTATGGATTGAGATGGATCTTTTCTAATTAATATCTTTAGCCTTAAGTTGAAATGATGATCCCTCTTCCTCTTGTGACCTCTTGATCCAGTTTTCCTCTCTATTGTTTCCTCTTTTTAAAACTTATTCAGCATTCCCGAGATGCTTCGCGAATGGACTTTGAAGATGGAAGCCAGAGTATAAATGTTGGTACCATTACTGAAGGCCTAGATGATCGTTTTCCTTTCACCATTGCTCATTTGGGAAGACAGTAGGACAAAACGATTTACACCTGTTCTCATTCTAGCTGAATAGCTCAGTGTTTTTAGTGGTTATTACGATAAATGGTGTCAAGATGGCTAGACGTCTTATCTGAAAACCTCGCAAAAATAAAATCAATTAGTTTAGTGTTTTTTTAGATATTAAACATTTTGTCTGCAGCTATTAACTGATCTGAAAATATATATCTCTCTCTATCTCATTATATATATATATATATATATATATATATATATATTGTTTAGAATTTGCTGTATTGATAAGGAAGTGTGTTCTACATCGAGAAAAAAACGGTGTGTCGATATTAAATAGCGTATTCTCAAAAATCAACACTGCATTTTCACAAGCAGTTTCAGATTATAAGACCACTCAGCCCACACATAAAGACATACATGCATATAAAATGATATACATTATTTACATTATTGGGAACGTTGTCCTCATCTTTGTCGCCATATTTATCACAATGTTTTGGTCGTTGTACGCTCCGGCCTTCTTCAGGTGGTTGGAATTTCGAACTGAACCCTTTATTTCGCTCACTGGGGTAGACTGTTCTAATTCCACGTGCCATGTTTGATGGATATCAGTTATCAGTTATCTCCTGCTTATTTCCCTCTGAAAGTTTTCCGCTTCCTTAACCGGGTATTGAATTCACACTCTTTGCGTCCTGTCACTGGATCTAACCAACGCCTTTATTCACTGTGCCATGTGCCCTCAAAGACTTTTTTATACGTTGTGATAAATATAATGTAAATAATGTACATAATACCTCATCTCAGAAATATAGACAGAAAATTATATATATATATATATATATATATATATATATATATATATATATAATTTGCTATATTTATAAGGAAGTGTGTTCAACGTCGAGAAAATACGTTGCGTCGATATGAACAGTGTAGTCGATATTAAATAGCTTATTCTCAAAGATCAACACAGCATTTTCACAACCAGTTTCAGATTATAAGACCACTCAGCCCAATAAAAATGATATATATATATATATATATATATATATATAATATATATATATAAATATTTATATATATTATTTAGATTTGTTATATTTATAAAAATCAACAAAATACGGTGTGTCGATATGAGACAACGTAGTCTCAAAAAAGACAACACTACATTTTCATATATAACCAGTTTCAGATTATGAGACAACTCAGTCCAAACGTAAATCTCTGATATTGATACATATATCCCAAAATATATATATATATATATATATATATATATATATATATATATATATATATATATATATATAGAGAGAGAGAGAGATAGATAGATAGATAGAGATAGATAGAAAGAATTGATGGTTGCTCGTTTTCCGAGTGCATCTGTCATTTTTGCTTGTTAATCTGTGGTAAACGTCCGTTCAGGCACATTAGCCTTTTTTTTTGAACACACACAGATCTAAACTGTGTATTTTTGTTTTTGTTTTTACAGCAACTATGCAAAATATCTCCGAGCAACACTTTGTCGGAGTGAGATTAGATACTCTGACTTTATCACTACAAGGCCAGTTTCGATAACCTCGAATTTCATGGTTGTGCAAACAACGACGGCTTTTTAATAGTTTTATCTATCCAATATCAAACACAATATTTGTATCAAACATTGATATTATTTTCAGTCATCAAAAATATGTTACTTTTTTAGTAAACTGATTTCGAAAGTCACTGGAAAGTGATGAAGCGTCCGAACATCATTTGTTTCACATCTATAGACGCATTTTTCCAATTTTCCAATTTTTTCCAATTTTCGAATAAGGTGTTTAGTGTTTTTTCTCGAAGTTGTAGATAAACTATCCGAAGTTGATATTTACATATTGTTTGTGACAAGTGCTTTAGACCAACTCGATCATAATCAAGAACCAATTCTGTATCTGTGTGTTGTGGTCGTTAGAATCCCTTTGTGTACATCCTGGTATTCTTTTGAAAATGTAAATTTAAAACTGTCTAAGGTGACTCTTACTGGGAACAAAGACGCAACAAAAGAATGCAAAAGAAGTGTGATAAAGCGAAACAGTCTGTCTGTGGACAAAATTATATAGGCTCCTGAAAAATGTATTTCGGTTGAGCTCTCTGGGGGAGGAAGTGTGGGTTCGTAAACAATGACTATTACGGCTACTATAGCAAGACTCCTCGGTAACAGCGAATCGAGTCCTCTCAGGTGCTGTGTGTTTAGCTAAAAATAAATACGATAAAATTCAATTCATTACTGTCTGTGGATGAAAAATATATATATATATATAATGCTCGCATATGTGATTTTATATATGATATATTTAATGTATGCATATACGCACACTGAAGAGCTCATATAGCGAATCCAGATTCCGTCTCATATGTTGAATGATATTTTATTTATTGCGGGCTGTTTTTTTTTATATATGGGTATATTTAATATTGCCTCTGCAGTCTTTCCTTGCATTGGGTGCTGTAGATTCCGTCTGGTATCGTTATATATATATATATATATATATATATATATATATATATATATATATGAATAAAAATGACAATAGGAGAACTGGTAATTGCTGACGCGTTTCGTCCAATGTGGACTTAATCAAATAAAATATAAAATGATAAATGATAAAGTCCATATGGACGAAACGACAATAGGAGAACTGGTAATTGCTTTCCTATATATATTTTTATATTAAATAAATCTTCTCTACTGCTTATATTTATATATATATATATATATATATATATAATGCAGCCCATTAAAATATTTAGCGATGTCTGGTTAATAAGGGCCAACTTCTCTCTTCTCAAGAACATGACGTAGCATGGAGGCTACAAAAGACTTGACTTGATGCGTAGGTTTATTTAGCCAAACGTATTCCAGGGATTTAGTAAGCCATGCAGCATGTTCCGTTCAGTGTTCACATAACACGGATTTAAATTTCATGTTGCCAAGGCAATGCTTGTAAGAAAGTCTGAGACAAGTTTAATGTCATTTTGATATGGAGAGTAGTGTTATCGTTTCCAGAACCTGTCTTCAATCCTTCATGAAAGGATAAGAAAGGACTATAGTAAGATCATGTCATGTTATTCCTGACAAGATTGCAGATTTCCAAGTAGAGTGTATGAATTACAATAGACCATACACCACAAAAATACAGAACGTTTACTGGCTTGTACATCTTGCTGTAGGTATACAAAAAACAATTATCTCCCATGGATCAAGTGAAAACCGCTTAGTGACGTCGGTTTATAGAGTAACAAAAATATACATTCCTTCAGTCAACTTACAGGAGTCAAACACGTTTTTTTTTTTATCACGGGTGAGGCAAGCCCTCTCTCCAGGCCATTCCATGGCACCGTTTTCGTTTAGAAATTGTCCTCGCCAGAGACAGTGAAGACGATGAATCCATCTCGCTCGAATTATAGAAAATATCTCTAGCTCTCAGTCCACATGTTGGGAAATACCTATGACTCGTCCTTCCCTGTTTGAAGAATATTTCCTTGCTATTGACATAGAAGACAAATCCGGCCCACTCGAATATCCGTTCAGAATTTTAAATATAGCTTCTCGACAAACACAAAACAATCCTCCAGCAGCTCAAATTTATGTTGGGCATAATTACAAGTAAAAGTTTCATTCTCTTCATCATTTTCGCATTGCTGATGTGCTATACACATGTTATAGTTTCTCTGTGAGGGACACGTGTAAATATAATTTTTTGTATGAAAATTATGTTTGTTTTTCCTTTTCTTTCAGAGATTCTATTCTGTCCGTGAAATAAGGTGTTATCATATCATGGATAGGGTATGATAATGACTAAAATGGGGGAAATAAATAAAAACCTAGGAAATTATTCATTTCCTTCATAGCTCACACAATATCATGTATCTTATCGGCTGTGATGTATTATTAACCACCATAACTGTCTATATTAATACATATAGGGGCAATGGATAAATAGTCGCCTTATTATATAGTTAGTTTCGCGCATGCGCTTTGTTTTTTTCTTTTTTATTATTTTATCGACTGCACAATATAGAAGGATCAGTTGGGCAACGTCTGTGAGAAAAAAGTT